CCCCCCCCCCCCCCCCAAAAAAAGATGGTCCTCTTTGAGATAGGAACATTCCCAATGTTTCATTACCCTAGCTCAATTCGTTCAAAAGTTAGCAGGGGTGGGACGGACTTTTGGTACACCCTGTATACAAATTAAATGTTAAGTTTATAAAGTATGTCATTGAACACTTACGTTCTTGCTGAAGTCTCGAAAATCGTCACAGTCCTTTTTCATCACCTTTGCAGAGCTTGTTTTTTCATAAATGTAGTCCATGTACAACAATGGTGTAAAAAATCGCTCCACGAAAAGAGGCAAAACCCTAGTTTAATATGAAAGAACTCATTAATCATGTAGAAATAGCTGTTTACAGCAGCTGTGGGGCAAACTATGATTAGTTCATAAAATCTGCAGTTTCTCCGGGAATTTCGGAAAAGAACCCGATCAATTGGCCTCAAAAATTTAAAAATATTAAAATATTGGGGGATTTTACTTCAGTGTGCGCACCATAGAACTGCTGTCTATAGAAAGCAGGAAATGGGATTCACGGCTTTTGTTTACTCCGCTAACTATTCATAATTCAGGTCTTCAAATTTTGGGCAATTACTGTTTTCTGAATTAATTGAATGTTTCTTATGACTTTTTAGTGACTATGAGAGTGATTTTCCTTAAAAAAATCGAATGAATCTCCCTTGACTTTTAGCCGAATTTTGTGCTGTAAAATTCGAGAAGAGTCTTTTACGTTTTTTAACATTGACCTGTTTTTTTTTGTAAAATCGAGTTTTTCAAACATCATCTTTGCTGTTATAACAAAATACTTCTTGTCTTAAAAGTATGTTTATAAAAAAGAAGAAAAATTGGTTGGTAGACGGAAAAATTCTGAATTATTTTTGGATTCAGGAGCAAATTATAAACATGATTAGCCCTAATCGAATTAGATTCTTAAAACCAAAAAAACCCTCCCTTCTAGACGCAAAAGAGACAGGTATTTAAATCGATAAACAGATCAATATTGACGCATGATTAAATAAACCAAAAAGGAGGGACAAAATATAAGGCATCCGTTAAGCATATCGTTTCATACGAAAAAGTAGATCCACTAAAAAAACACTTACGTAAAATAATTAGTTTTCATTTTCTTCTGACAGCAGCACGAAAAGAATATAAGAATCATTTAAGTTATATAAAAAACAAACAAGAAATTAAAATTTACAGATCTTCTATGTATTTCACAATAGGAAGAATGACTTGAAGCAATTGAACAAAAACATGTTCTAAAGACTGAAGATGAAATTTGCAAAACTGTTTGTCAGCGTGCCTTCCAATTATTTCAAAAACAACTAAAACAGTTTTCGGTAATATCTGCAATCCAAAAAGTTCGGCAGCTGAAGCAAGCTTTACGGTCCTGGGTGTCAAAATTGGACTGAAGTGGTGGTAATTGGTAGCCTCATGACAATTTTTCGGTACTTTTGGCGAAATTTGGCAGCACGGGCCACTAGTTTTGGCTCTAGCTGCCGCTGCCGAGCCTCGTGGATAGAAGTGCAGTGATTGCTGGAGTATCTCCAATTGTGAAAGGGCCTCCAAATTCAGAATCATAATAATTGAGAATTATTGGGTTGAGCGCATTTTTTTCTCTCATTTTGATGTATTTTGAAAAATTCGTGATTTTATGTTAAAAGAAAGAAAATAAATTCAATTAGTTTATAGACGCCAGATACTTACCGAAACAAAACTTCTGCCCAGTCTCGACTTCGACCTAGCTGAGAGTCAACCTTCACCCCAAAAGATGCCTCTAAAAAAGAGACGTGACTGTAATTTCCATGTGATAGAATGTTTGGAAATTTTGATTTAAATTACATCTTTCTGTAGCATGCATGTTTTTGAAATGTTGAACCTCACTTTCCGTTTCTAGGCCCCGAAGAAGCTTTTTTTGGTCTTTTAAAATTCTTTAATTAGGAGCAGGACATTTCCAAGCTCATCCAATTATCTTATGAAAAATTCCAAAAAATTCAAGTTCTATTGGGATTGAATCAGAGTAAGACCAAAACTTTAAGGTGCATTTGTTTTCAAGCAGTTCATAATACACGAATAGAAATTTCCTACCAGACCAATGAGGATCTCTATCAAATACACTACGACTGGAATTTCTCGTTGGAACAACAGAAAACCTTCCTCTTTTCAACGATATCAAGCGCGCCATGCTATTGCGCGCACATTGGAATAGGCTGCCTCGACGGCTAGATAAATCATTGATTCAGACCTCATGGCTTCCACAAATAATTTACGATGCCAAGCGCTTTTCATATTTTTTGACAATATTAAAATAAAGAAGATTACTTGCTTAAAATTAGTAGCTCACCACAGATTGTGTCAAGTGAAGCCGTGAAGAAGTACGGATAAAATTCTACTTCGACACCACTACCACAATGATGTTGCATCTTTTGTACGATGATCGTTGCTCTTTTGCTCATTACAGGCATAAATCTTGTGATTTCTCTTGGAGCAAAAGATGGCGTCAGCATTTTTCGAGTTTTCTTCCATTTTTCGACTGAAATTAGGGAATAAAAAGAGGATGTAGAGTCATTTTGATTGGCACCCAATCACTTTTTTGGTACTGCACTCCTTTTTTGCAGTTTATTAAAGGAGTACCTCTTCTTATGTCTGACAAAACCGAATGCAATGGATTTTGACTAAGAAAGTTAAGATTTGACTCAGATGTCCATTTGCAACTTTTGTATTGTAAGCATCATCTCATACGGAACATATTGAAGAGAAAATAAGAAGCATTTGATGATGTTAGTCCGCAACCACGTATCTCGTTTTGCAATATTTGAAAATATCGGCTCCTATTTTAATTTTAAAAGGATAACAAACCTGGATCATTCCTTGAGGTATTATGCAGAATTTTATTTGGACACAGAAAAAAATAAGGAGGGCAGTTTTTTAGAACTGTCGTAGAGTAGTTTCTCCTTTAAAAAATAAAATAGGATAAGAAGTCTGCAACGCCGCAAACCGAGACACGTGGTTGCGAACTTACCCCGTCGATTTAGTTCAAACCTTCCTGACTATCGAATCAACTTATTTCTCATTTTTGAAAAAGAGACTTTACGTGGCTTAAAGAGTGGTGCACAAGCAAGGATGTGACATGAATTTTTTAATGCTGCGCATTTTATGTTTTAATAAAAGCTTTGTCAAAACCAAGTGCCAATTAGGTACATCAAATTTTTTTGAACCGGTATTTACGTACGTGGTGCTGTAATCAGACCGGTGCCTATCCCTGCCTGACCAACCTTATAAAAAACCGCATCTTTGGCTAATGTTTTAGAGCTGTTCAAAATGATCTGAAAAATGCAACAAAAAGAAAAATTATCAGATTAAGACGATTTTCAGGTCTTGTCTAATAAGGTCATGTTAACAAAATGATGGAAGAGAGGATGTCAAAGGAGATGCATGTTGGGATCCTCCTGGGAGGAGACGAACGGGACGCCCAGTGAGAGGACGGCTATAGGGAGTTTTGATTGAAATAAGGGAGTGCCGAATCTCTGAAGGGTTGTGGGATGACAAGGTTTTTTGGTGGTTAGGCTTCGTAGAGCGCCAGAGCGCTGTAAAAGCGACTCTAATGTACGTATAGCAATTTTCTATTCAGAATTATGAGGACACTACTCGAATCAGACCCACGAAGACTTTCCTCGTCAAATATTTATTTGAGGATACAGACATCAGAGAACAGGAAAGAACTGGGGGTTTATCGCGTATTTAATTATTTCAAAATTTGCCATTTAAAAACATGTATACTAGCAGACTAGATTATTTTGTCCCATCTTCTCCAATAATCGTTCAATTTATAAACAATGGGTATTCTCGTGTTCACCTCACTCAATAGTTTCCACTGTTGTATTATAATTAATAAATTTTCTCCGCTGTGTCTGATAAGGAAGTTTGCCCGATCAAATGGCATATTCCGCCTATACTCGCACTTGCAAAACTGTTTCGTTTGTTTTGCATCTTGAAAACATGACGAAATTATTTAATGCAGTTGTCATATGGGCCTACTCTCACTTACTTTCAGCTTTTGAAACCAAAAATGACCTTATCTCTCTATTAATTATCATCCACCAACTTTCCAGAAAATCAATTTTCTAAATCCACACGTTTTTGAACTCTCAAAAGTGCATTCTTATTTTTCTTGTTTTTTTTTCCATCTTCATGGTTGTAATAACAACCAATGATTGGTTGGCAATGGTTTTGAAATCTTATACTTGTTTAAGGGCATAATGCAATTATGCTTATTTTGCAGAATACTAATTGTAAGTGTTGCAAAATCGTGAGGTGATCAACAATTTTGTATATTTTTTACCTGGATATCCTCTGGTTTTGTGATGAAAACAAGAAGTTTACTACCAAGCCAGAATTTAGATGGTGATCCATACTCTTCACAATATCCGGTAACGATCCATAATAAGTCTGGAAAAGTAGCAGAATTAAGGGACCTAAAATACCATTGCTCAGCATACATATCCTGGATAATTCTTCTGTGCGATTATAGACACATTATCGTTGTATCTAATGGAAGAATGAACATCCTTTTTCAGAAAACATTTGGAAAAGCGGATTCATGGGAAATGCAGCACTGGGTGATCATAAGGGGTCTTCCGACGATTTTTAACAGAGTTTCACTCCTGACAATGTCAAATTTTTAGTACGGTTTTCGAGAATGTGACAATTACACAGCTCATTAAAACTTGTTCTTTTTTTGAACCCCACAAGGCAACTAAATACGCCGAGCAAAAATGAAACCCATCATTAGAAAGAAAATTCCAACGATAGTTTCACTCACTTTTTCCGGGAAGGAAAAACATTTCTCCTTGTTACAAGTAAAATTATTTTTGCCTACCATTATCAACAAAAGAAAATGTTGGGAAAATCGTATAACATCAACAATTTTAAAACAAATGCGCAATCCCCATAAGTTGATAACTTCACTTTAGGCTTTTAAAAAAACTAAGAAAAAAAATACAAGAGGACATATGATCTCATATGATATTGTGAAATAAAATGTCTAGATTGATCACGCGCATTTTGAAATCGGAAGTATAGGTAATGTTCAGCTGTAATTATCATTCCTATCGATATGTATGAAAAGCTCTGCAAATTTATACGTGTGAAATCGCTTTCAGGTTGTTTGCTGCTTGCATTATGTTTCATTAATGGTTGGACCCAGTGTCTTTCCCAGCGGACCCATGGAATGAAAAGCCCTACCTAAGTCACAAAATACTTTTACCACGTGTCAATCTCCGGAAAATGGGCCCTCACAGTTTTTTTTTATTCATTGTTTATTTTTTTAATGTCTTTTAATTTCTTTTACAGTTGCTGTTCTCACTTTCAAAAATCGTCAATTTTCAATCTACGAATACCTGCATATGAGACGTGACGGTAAAAATATGGTTCCACCTCGCATCTTCGGTACGTGCCCAGTTCCAGAAGCCCTAATCACTTTTAACTGGACCGCGTTTATCAGAAGAGAACCAATTCTTATGAAGTTAAAACTGAGATAAATAAGTTTGAGGTTTTATTCCTCCATAAGACCCAATGTAGAATGCAAACTTTAATCCCTCTTTTCACGAACTAATAGTTTTTTTTTCGAAATTAAGTATTTGGCAGGAGACATTATACAACGAGAGGAACTCAATAACACCCTTAACTCAATTTTTTCGAAAATATGGGTTGGTTCCTTTCTGATGAACTTGGTCCAACTGTGTACGGAGCGCTAAACAACCGAGCAGTTGTTGAAGATTAACTTTCCTTTTTTACTCCAAAAAAGTCACTTACCATAGTGAGTTTTGTTAAGAAGTGACAGCACGTTGCCGACGAAAGGCAGAGCTGTTGGTCCAGGAAACTTTGAAGCAAGTCGCTCCTTATGTCTCCGATTCCATTTATGAATGCCCCATATCAAGGTCAAGCAGATGCATAGGATAGCTAAGAGTGCCCGAGTGACATCAGACATTCCAGGGATTAATATTTCCATTGCACCCGAATAAACGCACAATCAAACACAAAGTATTGCAATTCTAGACTAAAATTGATGATGGGCGATGCATTGATGCAAAAAAGTACTATTTATATTTAAAGCAAACTATAAACTGGTACACTATAACCGATCTTCCATTTATTATTTGCAGGTCAAAAGTTTGATATATACGTTTTAAAGTGCCAATTCAGTAAATAATAAATAAATAGAAAACTACATTATGACGCGAGAGATGAATAGAACAGGTGATAGTTAAAACACCAAATGATAATGAGCGAATCACCTTTTCAGAAAAATATTTCCGATATTATGTAGGACATCAAAGCACTTCGCACCTAATCGCGCCACCGGTTGACACAGCTCGCAAACTCTACTCCATAAACTGTCAATTTTCCCTATCAATTATTGAAAACACGACCTGACCATAGAAGGGTCAACTGGTTCTTTAATTGTTGAGTAACTTCACTTTTCGTTTTCGTGGATCATTCGGTTTTATCAACGCGGTAGCCTTGGATTATTACTTTCTCGTTTTTGTGAGTGTACTCAAGGTAGTTTCATCGCTCCTTAAAAAGGTGTGACTTGTTATTCAATCAGATGCAAAAAAATTCAACAATTCGTTATTGAATTACTAGGGGGCTATGCCCCCTGGCCGCTACGCGGCCCAACCCCCAGAGGGCGCTTCGCCCTCTCTCAGGCCCGCTTCGACAAAAGAACGACCAAAAAAAATGAAAAGATTTTCATACCTGACTCTCATTTGTCCAATTTCCCTCTGGCCGTTGAACCTGCTGGCAGAATATGGTCTTGTGCTGCAAAACAAGAGTGAATATTATCGACTCAATTCCCACTTATCAAAGCTCCGTAAAAAATATAAACAGAAACATTGATCCTCCTCTGCAAGCCAGTGGATTAAGTATTACTTTAAATTTCCTATTTATTATCAGTCCTTGTTATAACACTAGATATTCAAAACAATTCTGAAATATTCCATCGGAAAATCCCTAGTATAGGTGAAGTAGAAGGTACCTTTAAGAGAGAGTGTGAGTGTAAGAGTTTATGGCGATATCCAGAAAAATAATTTCTTCAAAATAGACATGGAAATAAGAAACTACGAGTAATTTTAATGACAGAAAATTTTGCTAAAATTAACAATTTCTTTACTCGATTATTAAAATAATTAAAGAGGACGTGGAATCGTTATTAAAACTTGTAAGGCAGTAGTGTTCAGCCGAGAGAATCTATGGCATTTTTTAGAGAGAATCGTTACTAGACCAATCGTTGATCTAAAGGGCAACTTAGAAAAAAAGAAATCTTGCTTAAAAACGTGACATTCGATGATGCGGTTCACTTATTTTACTCACTTATTTTAATGTCCTAGAAATCCCCGCAGACCTCCTCCAGAATTCCTCCTGCAGGAATTTCTAGGAGAGATCGGGTCCGCAATGAAAGAGAGCGTCAGATCATGGGAGTCGAAAATGACATCATACTCGACATCATGACAAGACAGCTTGGTATAGGTCATGTCAATAGGATGACGGACGAAAGGTTGCCAAAAAAGTTGCTTGATTGGGTTCCTCCTGGGAGGAGACGAAGGAGACGCCCAGTAAGAGGGTGGCGACAGGGGGTTTTAGATCTAAGAAATGAGGGTTTGTCAACTCCCTGAAGGGCTTTGGGAGGATAGAGGACTTTGGCGGCTAGGGGTCGCAGAGCGCCAAAGAGCGGTATAAAAGCGGCTTTATACATACATACATTTTAATGTCTTCTTCTATGGATCTGAGAATGAAAGGTAGTGTTGGAAACAGGCGAAGAGTCTCTTTGATAACTTGCTAAGCATATTCCATCTTATCTGTATCCTCAGTTGTAACAGGTCTGTTATCATTCCCAAAAATACTGTACTGTTCCGTAAGACCTTTTTCCTGTGTTCAAAAAAAGACATTTCAGTTATTTTTTCATTAAAATCCAGAGAGATTTACTTGCATTTATCAAGAAAATAATTCAGGACAAAATTGTGTATTTTAATGAGGTTAAAGATTTATCGGTATGATCAAATACAGGCGGATCTAGCTTTGCGTGTTACCTTAAATGCGCCAATATTGAACAATATTCACTAATTTTCCAAAATTTAAATAAAATCTTTCAACATTGGCTGGATTTTTGTGATAACATAGGTAATCGATAAATAGGACTTCCAGGAGGAAATCGTGTTGATCACCTTGCCATATACAGTGAGAAATTATACAATTTGACACACCGGATGAAGGTACCACGGCTTCATTGAAAAAAATATTGTGAAATGTGCAGATTCAGATAATTACCTCAAAAAGCAAAATATGTACAGTACAAAACAGTAAACAACAGATTTAAATACTAAAAAAAAAAAAAAAAAAAAAATGAAACTGAGGCAATAAAAAACTGAAAACCACAAGGCTTTTGGCAAAATAACACCTAAATTTTTAATTGCAAAAAAATAGAAAATGAAAAAAGCTCAGATGAATGAAACATAAAACAAACTAAGAAACTTGATTGGCTCGGATGTCATTGACATTCAACATTTATAAAGTCAAAGGATTTATTTTATTTCATTGTCATCCATTAATCCTCTCGAGAATTTCGTCTGTCTGGACGGTGTAACCTCAATAATTTTTTGTGATCAAATACGCACACGTCATCGGCCAGCAAAGTTCTCTATTTTTTGTTTCTTTTGATGAACAAAGTTTAAGCACAAAATAGTCTGTATCGTCATTTTGTTTTTAAGGCAACTCTTGTTCCTACTACATGCCCAAATTTTAGATTTAGGATTTACCTGAATTTGTAGGTGCATTGCAAGCATCAGCAGACAAAAGCAATTCGTCAGTGCAGTTGATTCACTTCCCGGCAGAAAGAAAAAACCAATGAAAGTGGGTGTAAATGAAGTAAAACATACCGCAAATAAAATTTAACTGAATTTTTTTTAGAAATATATACAATTAAGGAAATATTAAGTAGTAAAGTTGAATATCATAATACTCCTTATTTTTGTGTTTCCTAAACACACCTTTCCGTCAACCCTGAGATTTTTAAAAAAACAAAATTGTATAAAAATGACTATTTGACGAATAAGTGGAATTAATTTTGCAATTAAGAACTGTAATTTCTCGCTCGGTTTAAAAACAACGTCTCTACCATTAAAATCCCTATGCACGGCGATAAAAACTTCGTGCGTGGGACCCGAAGTTGAGGTCATATGGATCTCTGAAGTTCTTGTATCCGAAAACTTGAGGTCCAGCTGCCGAAGTTCGGGTCAGACATCGAGACACTTCGGTATGTACCGGAGTACTTCAGATGTGTGACCCGAACCCTTCAGTATATATCGGAGTACTTGAGATGTCTGACCCGAACTTCGGCAGCTGGACCTCAAGTTTTTAGATACGTGATCCGAAAATTTCAGAGATCCATATGACCTCAACTTCGAGTCCCACGCGCGAAAGTTTTTTCTCCGTGTGCACATAAGCATTTTTAAGAATGAGCCTTAAATTGTAGTTTCTAGTTGCAAAATGTGGTCAAAATATATACTCACAATTTCCAGTATGTTTGTTGCCTATGCGGTGATATTGAAGGCGACCCCAACTGGAGGGTAGCTGCTGAATTCACGAAAGTTTATGAAGTGAAAAAGTTGTGTGTTTTGGAAATGATAAATATTAGTAACGGTATAGACAGCGCTTTTCTATTCCTCTGTGATACTGAACGATATCGATGAGGGAAAAATACGAGACCAGGTGTTGCAGTGTTGCAAATTTCTCGTCCCATCAAGGAGATTTGATACTCCATGGAATGAAATATGGCAATTTTCCACCTCACGAGGTTGATATCGTAAACAGACTAATTTTCGCAAAAGGGACTATTATTTCTGGCTCCTTTCCGGAATAATGTCATTTGTTTTACCATGGTAGTAATTGTGCTCTCATGGAGAAATACCAGTCATTTATTGCAAAATGAAGTCTAGGTTTTTTTAACTCACCGCGAATAAAAATGTAAGTGGCTCATCTAATCATGTCTTGGCTTGAAAAATTGAAAGAACCATTTTCGTGAGAACCATCTGTTGCATCTAATAAATACCTCGAACTTAGAATGCAATGAATGTTGGCATTAGTAACAGGAGTTTGGTCCGGAAGAAAGATAAAATATTATCAGATATCTCGATTCTATACCAAACGAATCATTTGCCTACAAACCGCATGCAAAAAACAAACTAACAAAAAAAAAAAAAACAAGCAGTGAACTCCAACACAATGTGTTGATAAGGCGCGTCATTAACTCGCACATATCAACCCCTTTAGTTTTCATTTACAGAGATTTCAAAATAGGCAACTAGCACAACAAGAGAATTCATACGATCCAACACTGAGAGGTCAACCACGCACCTTGACGAGACCGTGTATTGTGAATGTAAAAAGCCATTCGAACGAGTTTAAGTTTTTTGATCTGCCCCAAGCAAGACCTTATCAGATTCTTAAAGAAAAGTGCTAAGTAATAATTTAAGCGAAGAAAGAAAAAATTTTGTCGAACTCCTGAAAGATAAAGTCGATTTAAAGGTATTTTGGGGCTAAAATACCTAAATCACCGGTATTATAAATCCCGTTATATTATTGAAAAGAAATTGACTCGATATAAATGCAATTGCATTAGATATGTTTTGATTTTGTTATTTTAAACGTATTTCCATGCAAAGAAGTTCAACCATGACCATGCTTTATTCATTCATGAATTGAAAGTAAGCAATCTACATCCCGAAAATCTACCAATTTGCCGTAAAAAATTGCAGAAACTTGATGTACCAAGTCGATGCACCCACTCGTTGAATTTACCAACCAATTTCGTGAGTGCAAATATGTAAAAATCAATATGCTATAGTCATTTTGGGTGCATTTACTTTTCATGAAACAATAATTTCAATCCCGAAAAACCATCAATTTTCCGTATAAAATCGAAAAAATCGAAATGTGTCGACTCCCTGACGTGAACATTGGATTCTACGTGTAAAAATACTCACGTATCGATATGCATATCAGAAAACCAGAACCAGAACAGAAACCATGTGTGGACACAGTTAGCAGTCCGCGGCAACATTCATTCAACAGAATAATGGTAAAAATTAGATAGGATTTTAGCCGCTTTGCCCGCCTCTCCTCGTTATTTACAAACCGTTCCTATACTCATCTCAAAATTTTCCTCAGAGCTTTGTGTTATTATCAGCTTCCATTTAAATCCCGGTTCGATGACCGAATCGGCTGCCCAAAAAGCAAGCCATTTTTGAAAGGTTCTAAGAGAAATTCGTGATATTATCGGCTCTCAGGAAATCACCCCATGCCTATAATTGGTGGTATAAA